TGTCAAGGGTCAGCCCTGACTAACTGTGATTTAGAAAGATTAATCTAAAGATTGATCAATGTACACTGTAGACTGATCAGCAAAGGGCAAATTCATCACTTGAGTAATACATAAAGAAACAATGATTAGACTGAAATAGTAAAGTATTTCCTTTAAGTGGCTAAACATATCTTTTAGGTATTAGTACTGGGTTTAAATTACCAGGATGTGATTTTTCCATTGTGACTAGCACTGCATTTGGTCCTAATGATTGGTGCACCATAAATAACCACTGAGGTTTTGTGAATTGATTTCCTGAGTCCTCACTAGGTAAAGAACATTGCACTTATTTATTTAACATATATAATATATATAGGTTAAAATTACGTAGGTTTATGAGTTTTGAAAATGGTTAAGAACATTTGAAGTGTTTTTAAAAGTTTGGAAAAGGTTTATAAGAATGTGGGAAGAATGGATGTGTGTGTGTGTGTGTGTGTGTGTGTGTATACTAAAATGTCACTACTTTGCTGATTTTCACTTATCATGGAAGTGTCCAACACAACCTCTGTGATAAGTGAGGAACCACACTGTATTTGAACTCTTAGTGAAGTACTTTGCAAACAGTGCCATGATTATCAGGAACCTTTATAAGGTATTTAAATGGTGAATTCATTCTATTAATGAAAAATCTGGAGTTTTAAATTTTTTTTCTATTTTAGAACCTTTGAGTGCTAAGAATTTCTAGTTATGAAATAAAGGAAAATGATTGTCATATTATTTGTATATTATATGCCTTTAGGTAGTACAGATACCTAAAAGTATATTTTTGAAGCTCAGTTGTTCTCCTTTTAACTAGAGACATAAGGACTAGGTGGTACTGAGTGCTATTTGTAATCTTGTTACAGAAATCGTTTTTGAAAGTCATCTGTATCATCTAAAACTCAAACCTGTTGGTTGTTGTATATTAATTTACTGAGATTACAAAAAAATAGATCTTTTTCTTATGATGAGTGTTGGGCATGGTGGCACACGCCTGTAATTCCAGTACTTGGGAGACTGAGGCAGGAGGATCACCTTGAGTTTGAAGACAGGCTGAGCTACATAGTGAGTTCAAGGCCATTCTGACCTGCATAGCGAGATCCTGGAGGTAGTGGGGGGGGGAAGAGGAAGAAGGAAGGGAGGAAGGGAAGGATGGAGGGACAGAGGGCAGGCGGGCGAAAGAGTGTCCAGGGTCTTTTTTTTTTTCTCCCCCCTTTGGTCTTTTTGAGACAGGGTCTCACTATGCTGTTCAGGTTGGCCTTGAACTCACTTTGTAGCCCAAGCTGGCCTCCAACTCACAGTGATCCCCCTGCCTCTGCCTCCAGAGTGCTGGGATTACAGGCATGTGCCACCATGCCCAGCCTGTCCAGTGTCTTTCAGTGACTTGGCCTAAAGTTAACTAATGACAGAGCAAGAACATTAACTCTAATTCCCTAACTTCTGTCCAATGTTTCTTATTTATGCTATATAGTATCAGTAATAGATTCTATCATAAATGTTTAATCTGCTCATTGGTAATATAGTGTAAGGTCCTTTCAAGGTCAGGAAAGCTCTAAAAGCAGCAGTTTGGCTGTATCTTAGTTTGGAAAATTCCCCATGCCTTGAGTTTGCCTTTGGGGCTTCACCCTTTGGTTTTTGATTGAGGAAAAAGCCATAATTCATAGTTTTGTCTTCAAAGTATTCCAGCAAAATAAGACAGAAGCTTAGAAAAACATATGAAACAAAACTAAGAACTGTTGAAAGTCATTGACATTGAGTAATAGATACATGATTCATTTATGTATGTGCATAATCATTGTGAAGACTTTAGAAGTTGTTTTGTTCTACCTAACAACAAAGAGGTTTTTAAACTATTGGTGTATTAATCTTTTGTTTTGTTTAGGTCTTTGGATAGAACAAAAATAAATTCAGAAAAAAGCAGTAAAATAAAAGAATATTTCCATTATTCTTTAATACCTTTATTCCCAGTGGGTCTAGGCTTAAATACAAAAACAGTTTGTCTTAGTGGGATGTGTGTGCGCATGTGTGTTTTGTTTTGTTTTGTTTTGTTTTGTTTTAAATTCTAGCCAAGCTGTCTTCCTTGCAACAATAACCAAAAGGCTTAACATAATATTTCCAAGGGGGTGTTAGGAGTTTAAGGCTTTTCTAGGCCAAAAAATCAGGGACTATTTCTTAATAAGAAGAATCAGAGGACTCCAGGGTTACTTTGACTTGACAGTTGATTAGTAGCCTAACATTTTTTTTTTTGAAGATGAGTCAACAATAGTGTCTTCTCATAACTCTTATGTTTGAATGCTATCACTACCGTGTACCATCAGGATGATCTTGGACAGAACAGTGTATTTCCTTAAAGTTTAGTTTTTCTGTCTACAAAATAAAACATATGAGTTCATTGTGAGATTGGCACAATATCTGAGTCACCACTCACAGTGCTAGTCAATAAGATAAATATTAGTTCCTTCCCTACCTATGACAGAAGCTCTTAGAGATGAGATTGCTTGCTCCTTTACTAACCTCTTTCCTTTTGTAAAATGTATTTTCTTTTTTCCTTACTTAATCTTTTTCTATGTAGGGTCTGCATGCTGGGTAACCGCACTCTTTCATCAAGACACATTGACATTTGCTCCAAGACCAAGGAAATTAATAACATGACAGTGCCATCAAAACTATGGGGCTTCTTCTGTAACTCCAGTCAGTTTTTCAATGCCACCTGTGATGAATACTTTGTTCACAATAATGTCACTTCAATCCAGGGCATTCCTGGCTTGGCTAGTGGTATCATTACAGGTAAGTCAAGGGGTTAGTAGACATGGTTTTTATTCCTTTCTGTGAGGAAATAGTCTTCCCCATTTTAAACTCTTCTCTACCTCAGTGCTACTTCCTTTTAAAACAATTTTTGTTGTTGTTGGTACCAGGGATTGAACTCAGGACCTTGAACTTGCCAGGCAGGCAATTAGGCCACCGAGCTATCTCCCTGGCCCACTGATTCCTTTTTTAAGCTTAGTACACAGCACAGTCATTCAACATCCCTTGCAAAGTGCTCTTTGTTAAAATTCACCTTCTATGAGAACAGAGTAGAGCTAGAATAAGATAAAATCATTTCTGTATTCTGTCCCTCTCCCACTTCCCCACCTTTCTATTTTGATATAATGTCTTCTTTCATTGTCCAGGCTGGCCTCTATTTTCTGGGTTCAAAGGATTTTCTGCCTCATCCTTCTGAGTAGCTGGGACTAAGCATGCTTCACCATAGCCAAATTTGTGTGTGCTTAAAAAATTGCCAGTGTTATTCCTGAAATGGCAAGTAAAATAGATCTGGTTTTGTGACGTCATATTCACATATATTTTCCTAATTTAACTTAATTTCTGAAATTTTTTTTTTTTTTGGTCTTTTGAGACAAGCCTTGTTGTACAGCTTAGGCTGGCCTTGAGCTCACTTTGTAGCCTGGACTGGTCTCAAGCTCTCAGTGATCCTTGTGCCTCAGCCTCCCAAGTGCTGGGATTATAGGCATGTGCTACCATGTCTGGCTACTTGAAATTCTTTCCTGCATGACATTGTGACATTGATCTTAAACATTTAATCCACAAATTTCTTTGCACTAGCAAGTTCACACTAAGATGTTAAAAATAGTTAACGATTAATAAAAAGTAATAGGCTTTGAGAGACATTCTCACTGACTTACTGTTTGTATTAGAAACGTTACCTGTATTTGTTGTGCTAAAGCGTCTTGTCAGATTATCTTTGAAATGAGACATTTTATTTTTATGTGTTTTTCTGCACAAGTTATATGTGTATGTATATATATGTTCATGTTGACAACCCTTTAAAAACTGTTATAAGGGTCTAGAATTGTGGCAAGGTGATGGAGTACTTGCCTAGGCTATGCAAGGCTCTGTATGATGTCAAGCAAAACATTAAATACAATAAAATAAAAATATATCAAAGAATAGTCTAATTTGAAATGTCATTTGGTTATGAAATCATTTTACTAATTTTTGTTTTTTGAGACATGGTCTTGCTGTGTAATTCAGACTGCATTGAATTCAGTATGCAGCCTGGCCTGGCCTCAAACTCACAGCAGTTCTCCTGCCTCATCCTTGCCAGTGCTGGAATTGCAGGTGTGTGCCACTACACCTTGCCGGCTGTATTTTTACTATACTTCTTTTGATTATATTCTTTTTCCTTCTGCAGAGAACCTTTGGAGTAATTATCTACCTAAGGGAGAGATCATTGAAAAGTCCTCAGCCAAATCATCTGATGTCCTGGGAAACTTAAATCATGAATATGTTCTTGTTGACATTACCACCTCCTTCACTCTCCTGGTGGGGATATTCTTTCCCTCTGTCACAGGTAAGTGATAATGCTGGTGTCTAGTTTAGAAGATTTCAGACCTAGGGAGTTATTTTTTCCATGAGATAAAATTATGCTTTCAGGATTCATACATTTGCCTTTAGCCCTGAGTATGAGTATAAACATCAAGAAGTTAACTTTGTTTTGTACCCTCCTCTGAAGGTATCATGGCTGGATCAAATAGATCTGGAGATCTGAAGGATGCTCAGAAGTCTATTCCCATTGGAACGATACTTGCCATCCTCACCACATCCTTTGTCTGTATCCTTTTCACGGATCTGGTCTGAGATGTAGGTATAGGACCATCCAGTAGAACTAGGGTGACCAGTGTTTTAGCAAAGGTTTTTCTCACTACTGTCCTCTTGGCAGATACTCTGCCCACTTAATATACAAACTTCAAGTAAGATTTTTATAGGATTAGGAAATTTAGTGATTTACTTGAGTGATAAAATTATTCTGATTCTTAACTGTCTGATGTTGAAAGGTAAACAGCAGTTTCCTTGACCACAGTATGGTAGATTTAAGCAATGTTGTCCTTTTTGGTGCATGTATCGAAGGGGTTGTTCTCAGAGACAAGTGAGTAGTTGAATTCTTTGTGTCATTTTCATGACATATGATCATCCAGAATAGTTCTAAGGCAGTTATGATCTCAGAAACCCAAGCTAAAGAGTATCAGTGATTGAATAGCAATTAGAAAATGTATGTACTGAGATAGGGGTGTAGCTCAGTGATAGAGCACTATGTAGCATGTGCAAGGCCGTACAATTGATACCTAGCACAAGAAGAAGGGAGAAAGGGAGGGGGAAATGGAAAGAGGGAGAAAAAGGAAAGGAAAAAAAAGAGGAAAGAAAAATAGTTATGTGGGTATTTGCTTTGTGGAAATTCATTGATGTGTACATTTATTTTTTGCATAGTACTTTTTTTTTGTATTTTAGAGAAGGGTCTACAGGGTGTTCAGGGTCTCACTACTACATCGGACTCCGTCCAATTCTCCTGTTTACAGCCTCCCAAGAGCTGGGATTACAGGTGCATGCCACCACACCCAGTCTCAATTGCTGTCTCAGCGTGCCCCAGGAGCAGGGCTGGCACTGCAGGCCCAGGGATTGAACCCCCAGCCCCTGTGCCTGCTTGCAGGCACTTTAATCCACTGAGCTATTTGACCAGCCCTTGCACAGTACTTTTTACACACTTCAAAAAGTATTTAAGCAACCCACAGAGCTAATTTAACTGATCCATCAAATTATCAGTGACCTAAATAATATTCAGTAAACTAAATAATAGTTTATGTGGAGTATGCATGTGCCATAGACATGATTTGTTATATACTTCCAGTGAGAGCAGAATTTAGCATACTTTTCTGTTTGGTAGTGATTTGAAAATGTTTTACCATATTGATCCTTTTTTAAAAGTTGCTCCCTCTTAGGAATCTGCCATAAGTAAAGAAAATCTGATGTGTCTGTATACATAAAGATATTGATTCCATGTTAGGCATGATGACACACACTATAATCCCAGCTCTCTGAGAGGTTTAGGCAAGAAGATAGAAAGTTTAATCCATGCCTTAGCAGAACTATCTCAAAAAGTAAAAAGGACTGGCTGGGAATGTAACTCACTGCAGAGGTCCTGGGTTCAATCCCTATTTATGTGTGTGTGTGTGTGTGTGTGTCTGTCTGTCTGTCTGTCTGTCTGTCTGTCTGTCTCTCTCTGTCTCTGTCTGTCTCTCTCACACACACACAAATACTAATTACATAAATTATGATATAGTATTATTCAAAGCACTAAATTTTGCCAGGCATGGTGGCGCATGCCTGTAATCCTAGCCTCCAGCACTCAGGAGGCTGAGACCAGAGAATTGTTGCAATTTCAAGAGCAGCTTGTGCTACAAAGTGAGCTCAAGGCCATCCTGAACTGCATAGAGAGACCCTGTCTCAAAAAGACAAAGCACTAAATTTTTATTCATGGTCTTTCATAACAGAAAAAGAATACAGAATTATAAATGCAGTCAACTCATCCAGGTTTTTAAAACCATAGTAAATAGACTAAGATATGCTAGATATACACAATGTTAAGATTTGGAGTTTCCCTTTTCCTGTTTTTTGTGCTTTTCCAGTTTTTCCCTGAAAGCAGATTATTTTGATAATCTGAAGAGGGAAGCTGTAGCTAAAGCTGAGTTTATTTTCTGGTTCTATGGTTTTCTTAATAGGGGCCATTTTTGGTAGTAATTTGAAAATGTTTGTGGGGATGGAACCCATGGCCTTTGCACTGAGCTATAGTCCTACCTTTCTTTACTTTTTTTTTTTTTTTTTGAGATGGGGTTTCACTAAACCATAAAGTTGCCCAGGCTGGGCTTGAACTTGTAATCTTTTTGTCTTTGTGGCTTAGCCTCCCAGAGTGTTGGGATGCCACGCTTGTGCCAACATATCCAACTAATGCCTTTTTTCCCCTGGGGTGCTAGAGAATGGACCCAAGGCCTTCTGCGTGCAGGGGAGGTACTTTACCACTGAGCTACATGCCCTGACTGTTGCATTTTAATCAGAGCTGTCTGCCTTTACCTTTCTTAGTATTCATGTCTACCTCAATGTTAATTCTGTATAAATTATAAATAGAAAGAAATGGGTGAGATTCCTTTCTGATATTTCAGTGTAAAGGTATTTACAGATTAAATTTCCTTTCTTCTTATTTCTTTCGTAGGTTTGGGGATGCTGTAAAAGGTAACTTGGTGGTGGGGACCTTGTCTTGGCCATCCCCATGGGTGATTGTCATTGGCTCCTTCTTTTCAACTTGTGGGGCTGGACTTCAGAGCCTCACAGGTGCACCACGGCTGTTACAGGCTATTGCCAAGGATAACATCATACCATTCCTGAGGGTGAGTGACATCCTCGTTTTTCCAAGGTTTTAGGAGAAACAGAGTGGTTATAAATCATAAATATGGAGACAGGTTTTTAATTGAAAACCTTGTAATTCATGAGTTTATATGCAATTGTGGAAAAGATGTTTAAAAAATAATACTGTTGTAGCATTATTATTTTTCAGATCATGAAACTGCAAATTAAAAGAATCAAGAGCACATTTCCTCAGTATATGCTGGTATTTTCCCTCTTACATACAGGTTTTCGGTCACAGCAAAGCCAATGGGGAGCCTACTTGGGCTTTGCTTCTGACTGCTGCCATTGCAGAGCTGGGAATCCTTATTGCCTCCCTTGATCTTGTGGCACCAATTCTGTCTATGTAAGAGCCAGTTATTATCTTCAGTTATTTTTATTTAAATGATACATAATACATGATTTCCATCAGTCGTATAACAGCAGTGATAATGACAGAGTCAGTCAAATACATGATAGTAAACATTCCAGAAAACTTTCACATAGGGCTGACTTGCCCAAAGGCCTTGCTAGACTAGTACTTTACTGCTGAGCTGCACCTCAGCCTCATCTTTTCTTATTTATTATTAATCAGCTAATAGCTTTTATTCATTCACCTCTGACTTATTGATAACTTTTTACCTACCTGACACTATGCAATGTATTGAGAATGCAGAGATGGATAAGGCACAGCCTTAAAGAACTGATGATAAGGAACCTTCATGATCTGTGCATAGTGATGAGGGCCATGGTAGAGATGAACGCTGGGTGGGGTAGGAGTACTTAAAGTGAGGTGTCTTAAGTAGCCTGGAACTCTAGAATTATTGCAGAAGGTGACGCTTGTGTCTTGAAGGATGACTAAGAGAGATTAGAAGAAAAAAATTGAGCTGGGAGTGCTAATTGGGAAGAAAAATGAGAGGCTAAATGAATGCTCTATTACTCTACTACAGTAGTAGAGATGAAAAGGAAGAAAAGTTTAGAAATTTTTTTCCCCCCAGTACTAGGGTTTGAACCCAGGACCCTCATTCTAAGCTACATAACCAACCCCTTCCTCCTTTTTGTTTTTGTTTTGTTTCGGTTTGATTTTGAGGTTTTTTTTTTTTTTTTTGTTTTGTTTTGTTTTTTAATGTATTTAGTACAGAGTCTACCGGGTCTCACTACACAGATCACACTCATAGTGATCCTCCTGTTTTCAGCCTCACAAGCATTGGGATTACAGGTGCACCCCACCACACCCAGTCTCATTTGCCCTCTTAGTACACCCCAGGGGCAGGGCCAGCACAGCACACACCAAGGTTGGAACCCCAGCCCCTGTGCTGATTTTTGGTTTTTGAAACAAGGTCTCACTATGTTCAGACTGGCCTTGAATTTACTATGTAGCCCAGGTTGGCCTTGAGCTCACAACAGTCCTTCTGTCTCAGCCTCCTGAGTGCTGAGATTACAAATGTGCAACACCACACCCAGATGCTTGGTTTTTATGTTTTTGTTTTTGAAGCAGGGACATACTAAGTTGTACAGGCTGAGCTTGAACTTGTAGTTCTCCTTCCAAGAGTGCTGAGTTTACAGGCATATGACACCACACTATTTATTTTTTATTATAATTTTTTTTTTTTTTTTTTTTTTTTTTTGGTGGTGGTGGTAGGGATTAAATCCAGGACTCAACACATGCTAGGCAAGTGCTCTTGCTGTACCCTCAGACCAGATTTTAAATAGGTAGAATCTCATAGGGCATCCTAAGTGAATTCGGATCAAAGATGAGTAAAGAAGAAGAAAACCTGGGTTATCTCATAAACACCTGTGTAGAGTAATTATGTCATCAGCTGAAAGAGAACACAGGATAAGTGGGTTTGTGGGAAGAGGTTTAAATTTTTTGTTTAATCAAGGGCTAGAGGCCTGAAAGTGGGCTTCTTTACAGCAGAGGTCTATAGTTTAATTTAATTTTATTTTTTTTTAATTTTGGTGGAACCGGGGATTGAACTCAGGCCATTGAGCTTGCCAGGCAAGCACTTATTCCACTGAGCCATCTCCCCAGCCCTATAGTTTAATTTAATTTTATTTTATTTCACTGTACTTTACTTTTTTTTATTTTTTGGTACTGGGAATCAAACTCAGGACCTTGTGCCTGCCAGACAGGTGCTGTGCCGCTGAGCTATATCCCCAGGCCTATAGTTATTTTAAGTAACCCTCAAGGAATCATTTTATAATAATCATTGTTCTTACAAGTTGTTTTACTTTGTTTTGTTTCATTTCATGATGCTGAGGATGAAATCTAGTACTACATCCCTAGCCCTTACTCTTATTATTATTATTTTTTTATTTTTTATTTTTTTGCGGAACCGAGGATTGAACTCAGGCCCTTACGCTTGCCAGGGAAGCACTTATTCCACTGAGCCATCTCCCTAGCCCCCCCCTAACCCTTACTCTTTTTCCCTTTTTGTACCTCAGGTTCTTCCTCATGTGTTACCTCTTTGTGAACTTGGCGTGTGCTTTGCAGACGTTACTTCGAACACCCAACTGGAGACCCCGATTCCGCTACTACCACTGGTGAGTCCACCTCCCTTTCCAGCCTCTCCCCTTCCTCCTCCAATTTCCTGCCCTTTTTCCTCTCAGTTGAGTACAGTACCATGCCCAGTTTAGCCCGCATCATTCTTTAGGTTGAAACAATGTTCCCTTTATTTATCTATTTTCCTGTTTCCCTTGTAACTAAGCAGTAGACTTCATGCCTTTATACTTTTATTCTGATATTCTCATCAGTTCTCGTTCTTATATTCTCATCCTTTATGTGGTGGCAGACTAACCGAGTTAATATCTTAACTAACTGCTGTCTTTGTAACCTTCAGCAAAGCACATAGTCATGTAAAATTCCATTTTATTCATTTATAAAAGAGAACTCATAAATCTGAAGTGCTTAGTGGAGGACCTGGTATATAGTAAAACTCTTAATGAAATGTTACTTTTGGCTGCTGCTGCTACTATTGTAAAGTTAAGCCTTCCTAGTCCTGACAGTCATCCAAATTTTTTTGGCCACTATGTGAGCTCTTTCCCATGTCTTTTCTCTCATAAACTTACAGTGCCTTAATGAGGTCCAGTATGCATATACCCATGGTGCCTTCCTCTTTGCTAACTTCTTTTGATCCTTAACTGTATTCACTTAGCAATGGTGGGCAGTGATATGACCTTTACCTCACAGATATTATACCTTCAACTGGTTTTAGCACATCTAATCTTTTTTCTGCCTTTATGTACAAATTCACTGAACAATTTTTTGTTGCTATTTTGCTTCCATTTTATATGTATATATATGTGTGTGTGTGTGTGTGTGTGTGTGTGTATTTTTTTTTACTAATTTTATTGAGAAATGAATAGCAATAAGAAAATTTTCAAAACTGATTAGTAGGACAATATGACAATATGCAATGTATTATTTCAGTGTATTAATTATACATGGCATATTGTATTATTGAAATAATACATTGCATGTTGTTGTCTTCATAATGGTTATTCATAGTACAAGATGCAGACATGATATCCCATCCAAACACTATTAGTACAAATCTTTCTTCTCATTGAATTAAGAGAAAGTAGCTGTATATCTATCCTAACTATTTTGTATAAGCAGACACAAAATGGTCCTTCGTTTGTATCCCCTTTTTTTTGTTTAGTTTTGTCAGGGATAGGTATTCCATTGCCATTTAAATACTGTAGGTGCGTGGATTCAGAAAATAATTCAGCATAGTCCAGTAGTCCATAATAGTGGTGAGTTATTCATAGAACTTGCTTCTATTATATTTTGTTATTTTTCTTAGATTTTAATCTTCAGATAATCAACTCTCCTGCTCATGATTTAAAATTCATCCAAGAGCTCAGAAGTTCATTCTGTCCACAGAAAAATTTCAATAAATGCAGCTGCCTATCCAATATTTTATTTGATTAAAAGAGACCCACTTTATCATGCTACAAAGTTTCTCTTATATAGTAGTTTGTAAGACAACTAGAGGCACATTTTTCTCAGTGAGTTCTGTGCTTATGCTAATTAAATATTCATAAATTTGGGGAAATATTTATATGAAAAAAGTTAGAGATTATGGATTTATTAACACTTCAATCCATGCTTTTCCAGGTGATTCTTAATTAATCATCCTCATAACTACAGATGAAAATTCTAGTGTAGAGCCCTTGTTCATTTACACTGGTGGGAAGCATCTTTGTTACAAAGGGTACTTGGGGCTCAGTACATATTACCTGCCTGTTGCCAGTCCATGGCAAGACAACTAAGAAGTTGAGAATACAGATTTGTAAACTTACCTAGATAGTATTGTCATGTAGGCTGAGAATATGCTCAGTGCTTGGGCACTTACCCAGCATGGGCAAGGCCCTACATTCACGGCTAAAAACCCTAGCATGGCTAAAAACAAATACACAGGGGCTATAGTGGTTCATGCCTATAATCTTAATATCTTTAGCATACTTTTTTTGTGACTTAGACTTTTTTTTTATATTCTTGTTTTTAACTTTCTAGGGCCCTCTCTTTCATGGGGATGAGTATCTGTCTGGCTCTGATGTTCATTTCTTCCTGGTATTATGCCATTGTAGCAATGGTAATAGCTGGTATGATCTACAAGTACATTGAGTACCAAGGGTGAGTGTGGATTTCACCTTGATCACTGCTAAAATTCTGAAGACTAATTTTGTATATTCAGCTTAATGAAAATTACATTATAGCGCCTGCTTTTTAAAAAATAATTATTTATTTATTTATTTTGTGTGTGTGGCCAGCTCAACCCACCAGGGGGCGGGGCTGGCTGGCATGTGGTGCTGGGAGATTGAACCACGGTCCCTGTGCTTTGCTTGGCTTAGCTTGTTCTAAGTAGGAGCTTTAGACCACTGAGCCATCTCACCAGCCCCGAAAATTACATTATAGATCCAGATAACTTCATTTGGCTGTGAATACATTCTCCCTAATTCTGTTTTTTATTTTATTTTATTGAGAAACAAATATCAATGAGACAGTTTCAAAACTAATAGGACAGTTTCAATAATTAATACATTGTTATCTTCTTAGTGGTTATCCATAGTACAAGATGCAGACAGAATAGCCTGTTCAAACGCTATTAGTACAAATATTTCTTCTCACTGAATTAAGCAAAAGTAGCTATATATCTATCCTAACTATTCTGCATATACAGATACAAAAGGGTCCTTCCTTTGTATCACCTTTCTCCCTAATTCTGTTAACCATCTTACAAAGTTTTCATTGTAAGGGGGAACCTGTTAAGAAAGTATACATGGGTTATAAAAAATAGCTAAAAGAATATATCTAAATAATAGTGATCAGTCCTAAGTAGAATATTACATAATACAAATATTTTTGCTAATCTCTTCAATCAAAGTATTGCCTCTGACAAAAATGAGGCCAGAATAATTTTGTAACAACTAAAACCAACTGGCTGTGATGGCATACACCTGTAATCTTAGTACTCAGGAGGCTGAGACAGAAGGATCGCAGTGAGTTTGGATCCAGCCTGGGGTACATAAATGAGTTCCAGGCCAGCCTGCACTACATAGAGAAATTGTCTCAACCCTTCCTAAAAAGAGACCTCATAACTTTCCCAAATGTAGGATAAATAACATTCTGATTCAGAAAATTACATTGAATTTTACTTTAACTTAAGTTGGGTCTTTATAAGTTTCTAATGCAAAATACTATTTTACATTGTTGCTTTTGCATAAATGTACAAGACTGAGTCTCTGAACTGTTTGTATGACGTAGTCTGTTGGTACATATTAGGGTTCATTTGGTTCACAGTGGGTTCATTATCTTACTAACATATACATCATTAATATGAGTTTAAACTTCTACCTTGTGTGTGTGTGTTACTTTTACTTTTCAAAGTGAAGTTTTTTTAAAAAATGATGCTTACTGTATTTTAAATCTGTCTTTGTTCTTTTCTCCTTTTTCTCCCAGAGCTGAGAAAGAATGGGGTGATGGCATCCGTGGGCTGTCGCTCAGTGCAGCCAGATTTGCTTTACTTCGGCTGGAGGAAGGACCTCCACACACTAAAAACTGGAGGTAAACAGATTACTCCATAGCGCTTAATGGTGTTCAGCACAGAGTTAATACACTACTTGTGCTTTGTTGATTCCTGGATAAGGAAATTATGCAGCTCAAGGAATTGGCATGATGGACCTGTTTTAAACTATCCTACATCCTTACTTCTTTTGCTTCTGAGATTTGTGATTTATATTTCTGTCATTTGTTGTTTTTGCTTAAAGACTGATCAATTTGAGCATTCAGAATAATTCAGTACCCTCATGTGGTCATCTCTGATCTCTTTTTTTTTCTTTCTTTTCTTTTTTCATAATTTTATTGAGAAACAAATAGCAATGAGATAGCTTCAAATCAAATTGGTAGGACAGTTTCAATAATTAACACATTGCATACATTCTTCCTAGTGGTTAATTGCTGTACA